TTGCCGTAATGTCGTAGGTCGCCAGTAAGGTTTCGTCTGATAGGGAGTTGAAAAGAGAATCCCTGAACATCGCTCAGGGCATTGCCTTATCCAATGGGTATCCTTGCTCTGGGGTGGCGCGAAGGGGGTATTCCACATGTCCTAGAGACAGCCATCAATCGATGCCTAATAAAGTTGTTTTTTGCCTGCCTTTCATTTCCGATCAAGTGAGTAAGGCAGTTCGATCACTACAACACAGGTGTGATCTGCAAAACGAAGTTAGGATTGTGGAAATACCCCCATCTAACCTTCAACGTCTTCTGGTTCGCAACCGCCTGTACGACACATTGTGTGACACTCCAGAAGTGTCGTTTATGCGGCCCTTTGGCAAGCAGGGTGAATTGCATGAAGCTCTGGCAGTCAATTTTACTTGATACACTGCCAAAGCTGTGGCAGCGAGTATATAGGGGAAACAGGACGTCCTCTCCGTGTGCGGGTCAAAGAACATCTGGAGGGACTTAGTAGGTCGCGAGCCTATACCCCGCTTGGAGCCCATCGGGTTCAACATCATGAAGGCACGACATTCGACGTGTCGGTGACCATATTAGCGCAGGAGGCCGAGATCACAGTAGCGTAAGACATTGGAGGCATTCTGGATTACGGCAAAGGACCCTCAGATGAATAGAAAGGGAGAGTGTGTGGCCATAACGCGTGAGCTGGCGCCCTTCCTCGACCTTTGCAAGTTTTGATCTACCGTGAGGTCGAGGAGGGTGAATAGTACTGGTTACTTCTCGATTAAGTGTTCCTCAGGGTGGTCGACCCCGCATAGCGGCGGCTGATCAGGTGAGCCATAATACTATTGATTGATATCGTTGGGTGCTTTACTAGTCTAGGGAAATTGTCTTGAGATTGTTTAGGCGCTTGAGCGGGCAAGTTACATCTGTTTTTTGTCCATTTCAGGCTCAGACGAAGGCGAAGACGCCGAAACGTAGGCCTAGTAATAAAGCCATCCAATCTTGTACAGGCTTGAAGACATACGAAAAGGATATCTAGCATGCCAAGATTGCAAGAAAGTCGCACGTGGAGCATTTAGATCGTTATCACGAAAGGAAGGCATTGAAAGTGAACATCTAAAAGAAGCTTCAAGAAGGGAGATGTCGAGGACCGTTGTTCCACGGATCCCTTACTTCCTTGTTTTTTCAGCTGGTAAACGAGCAGCTCGTAGGTTCCATGGAGAGGCGGGCCTGATTCTGAGGGTTTTATGTGCTTTCAGTAGGGATGACATTGTTTGGAAAAGTTTGTTTGTAATGTTTCAGCCCGCAAGATACCGGAGGCGCTGGCATGTGGTTCTCCCAGTGAGGTTTGCGCCAATATTTTTTGTTTGGGAGCGATCCTTCCTTCATGTTCCAAGAGGCACTTAGAAGTGCGGGGATTACCCGCTGCAAAAAAAATGCATTTTCGATTTGACAAAGGAATGCGACTCCCATATCAGATACAGCGCTGAAAACCACATCTTTTTGTTCTTCGCTGGGTCTTATCACCAGGGGACAATCTATCAGATCGCGCTTTCTTTGTTAGTTTAGTCATCGAAAGGAATGTTTTACTATGGTGGAATGTGCCCAATAATGGGCGCCAGCGTATTTGGAGAGGCATTCCACAAAGCGTCCTTCTCCCCGCCAAGATCACAGATATTATGCTTATTTTGACCGTTCTCATATTTGTCGTCAATTTCCTTGTCTGATCTGTCTTGTCCTGTTGTTCAGTTTATCACAGTTCTTATACTGAAGCACATTTATGAAATATTCATCTTCAGAACACGATTCGAGGTAAACATGTTAGACCGCGTACAGAGTTCGCGATTTGATCGCGCGACCACGACCACGGATGCTCCCAACCAGTGCACCGCCGCAATGGCTTAATTCAAATTGGGGCGAACCTCACAGTGCCAATTTGAATTGCGCCCTTGCAGCGGCGCTCCGTTGGCGGTGAAGCTCCCCCTGTCGGTCGCGCGATCCGTTCGCGGAGTCTGAACGCCATATCTCCTTTATTTCTTTCATATGCGATGTTGTAGTATTTCGTTTGACTTGGTCAGATGTATGGGAACCCATCATTTGCTATGGAAATCAGAACGAAGAAGGTCTTCATCCGCTGCCTGAGGAGGGTCCCCTAAAAATTCCCTAGATTGTTGGGTTTGCTGGTTTTTGCCCTTTATCACGCGCTACTTCTGGATTGATGGTAGAGCGTTAAATTTTGGTAAGATCGTAGGTGGGTTGTGTAATAGAGTGGTCCGGGGAAGATCTTTTCACAATGAGCTTTCAGTTTCAGGGAGCGCTGAATTTCTATACCACTTCAGCATCCACTAGCTCTCCCCCCTCTAAAGCGTCTGATTAACCAATGCGATTAGGTCTATCATAGTTTATCGCTGTTTTCGGAGTTTTCTAGTGAGAGGCGTAAACATGCAAATCCTCACCAGCTTTGATGAGTCTGTGTCGTCTTAATGCGAATCATAGAGTGCCCTTAGAACTAGTCATTTTTCGCCGCCACCTTTCTTTAATGGGGGTTTTATTGCGTCTCAGTTCTTTGTCTGATGTAGTTATTCTTTTCAATAATACTCGGAAAGCTCGAGGAGATCATATTCTATTCTGTTCTTTCTATTCAGCGTGCTATATTTCGTATTTGTTGCTTCACATTTGAGAGAATCTAAGCGGAGATAAATTAGTTTTCCTAATTTTTTCAGCGATGAACGAGGAAGGTGGTTATCTAGGTGCTATGACTTACCAGTGCCTTTACAGTGGAATTTTGGACAAATTAAGGTCTTCGAAGAAGGACGACGATCGTGCCCTTCGCTGCAATTCACGTGAGTAGCTGTTAATATTTGTTAAATGTGCCTCTGAATTTTATTATTTCGTGTATTAATGCAGAACGAAGCTTCTCGGAAATTTGACCGGTAACGTTTCAGGTATCACTCTAGCTTGAAAACCACTAAGTTCCTGTCTCGCTTTGTCGGTCTATACGTATGCATGTCATTGCGCGCGCTAAATGCCTAGAGGGAGGCGACTGACAACTTTTGTAGCGATGCTGTAAGCATCACTGGTCCAGCCACTAGCTACTGGATCGCGCGATCTCAAGTCTAAACGCGCTCTGAGCTATAAGAAACCAGGCATCAACCTTCAGGGACGGTGTGACATTTTTCCACCGCTCTATGAGAACTCTAATTATCGGTAGGCCCATACCTAGCAGTACTGGACCAAGGTGAGCGCACTCGGCGAAAGTGTAGTAAGGGCCGAAGGGGACCGCCAGAACTGCTAGTGGTGCTAAACTGGTGTGCTACCAAAATGAATCTGTTTGTCGTCATTTTTTTATTAAAAATAAGACAAGATATTTGATCGGTTGTATTCAGTAAGAGTGCTGACTGAGATCTTACGAAGACTAGTCACTGTTGCTACAGCTATACTATCAGACCTCTCACAGGAAATGTTCGAGCACCAGTTGGATTAGTCGCAAACCATTGAGAATAGGCTCAAGAATAGGAATTTTTCTTTAATGCCTGAGATAGCACGTATTCGCTTACTTAGAAACATGCTCAGAATTACTCCGAACTGCGGGGATGGAAGCCCAACTTTCACCTCTCTTTTTTATGTAGGGTGAAATATGGGGTTAGTATAGTATAGTGCTAGTATGGGGTCATATGACAACTGCAGAATTCTCTGAATTTGGGAGTCCTTCCTACTATAGTTATGGTTTTTTGCAGGGACCATGTACAACCCAGTACTCTAATTCAAATATTGCTGGGCTTCTTTCATATTTTGCGTCGAGAGAATAGGTGAATCGGTGAAGCGGCCTTTTGGGAGAAGGAGCTTCAAAGATGCGGACTGGATAGGTTCGGTCCGGTGGATTCTTTTCATCTTCCAGAACAAGTGGCAGCAGTCATCACCAGTGGAAAAGGGACCACTCCACTCCTTTAGCGCGCATGTTCCTCGCCAATTCCCCTATTCTCCCATGGCAAAGTATGAACTTGGTTT